CCAGGCGGCCAGAAGCTCTGGAGCCAGTGAGCCAGCGGCAGCAGCCCGAAGCAGACGCACCTTCTCAGAAATGCTCCGCAGCTTTTTTGCAAGTGCGGTGCAGGTCTTTTAAAGCCTCTTACAGAGGCCACAGACAGAAGCCACTTTGATGTTGAAATCTGGAATTTCGAGTTTGGGGAAGAAGTCTGGCCACACGGCCACCACACTCAGAACCCTCCCCCTCCCCCTCATCCCAGACGACGAAACACTCGTAGGAAAGGTTTTCATAGCCGACAACGACATCTCTCTCTCCCTTGTAGCTTCAGCGGCTAAGGGGAAAAAACAACACATGGGGAAAGGATCACAGGATGGTGGTCTACCAATTCAGAACAGGCCGTCGAAAAACCCTGAACCCAAGACCCCGGCCCTAAACGCCTGGAGCCCTGTGAAACTCTTCCTCTAAACCCTTGAAACCCTAAGCCCGAAGCTCCCTGAGACCTTCAGGTTCTTCAGGCAAAAAAAATTCCTAAAAATCGCGTGAGCCCCAGGACTGGGGCTCAGGGTTTAGGGTTTTGGGCTTTGGGCTTAGGGCTTAGGGTTTAGGGTCTATAGGGTTATAGGGTTTATAGGGTTTTTTGGGCTTATAGGGCTTATAGGGCTTATAGGGTTTATAATTATAGGGTTTAGGGTTTAGGGTCAGATTCGAAGCCGATTGCCTCGCTGCGCAACCGCGAGTCGAACGATGACACATCCCGGCCGGAAGCCAGCGGCTGCAGCCTCCAGAGATTCTCACGATTTAGGGGTTTAGGGTTTAGGGGTTTAGGGTTTAGGGGAGAATTTTCTGTGGCTTAACATGTAACGGTAATCAGCTTAGTGGTCAGCTGTTTACCCATAGGCCCCTAAGTAGTTCCTTTTTGTGGGTTCATATTTAGAATCCTATAAGGTAATCCCAAAAAGGAACTACTTAGGGGCCAGCTATTTACATTTGGTATCGCGCCTATCGACGTAACATGGCTTGGGCATGCAACCTGCATCCTTTCAGGAAGCTCGATGTTGAACTTAAGTAGGCTCGACACCCTAAACATGGGTTGACTCGCTTCGGGCTTACTTCGCGAGCGCTATGGGATGCAGGATCGAAACTCACAGGAAGCAGCATCCTGAGGCTTCAGGGCTTAAGGTTCAGCAGTTTTTTGCCTGAGGGTCTAGGTAAGGCTCAGGGATGTAGGATTGAATCTCCATTACGTACAAGGCCTGGGGGTTCAGGATGGAGAGCGCACTCAAGGATCCAGCGTCAAAGCAACAAAGTAGCCCTAAGACACAAAGACTCCTTAACCCCTTATATAGTTATATAGCACCCCTGAACCCGAAACCCTAACCCCTGAAACCCTAAACCTCTAAAATAATAAACCCCTAAACCCCTGAACCCCTAAACCTCTAACCCCCTATAGGATCCTAAACCCCTATATATAGAACTTATAGAACCCTGCCCTAAACCCCTCAACCCCTGTAGAACCCTAAACCCCTAGACCCCTATAGAACCCTAAACCCCTAAACCCCTAAACCCCCATAGAACCCCTAAACCCTAAACCCCTAAACCCCCATAGAACCCCTAAGCCCTAAACCCTAAATCCTAAACCCTAAACCCCTAAATATAGAACTCATAGAACCCTACCCTAAACCCCTAAGCCCAAAAGGCCAGGCCTTTCTTGGAGACCCAAGGCCGCCCTGAGTTCGGCAGCCTCGCGCAGGAAGGGGCCGTTTGGCTTCCAGGGCCTTTCGGGGTCTTAAAGGGGTTTTAGGGGGGTTTTAGGGGTTTTGGGGTTTGTTTTAAGGTGTTTTTAGGGTGTTTAGAGTTTAAGGGGTGTTGGGTTTTGTTTTAGGGATTTTTTGGTGGTTTAGGGGGTTTTGGGCTCAGGGTTTAGTTGTTTTTTGGGAGGTTTTGGGGTTGGTCTGGGTTAGATCCTCTGGGCGAAGGCGAAGGTTGACAATCCAGGCATTTTGTTTCGGAGCCCTTGTCTGGCCTTTTTGGGGATTGGGTTAATGTGCAGTGCGTAGCAGCTCCGATTGTAAAAGGTTTGGGCTTAAGGCTTAGGGCTGCTTGATTGTAGGCAAGCGATGGAGGATGCCACCCTTCGTGCGCCCAAAGTGGTGTCACAAAGGACGAAATGAAGTTGCCTCATACTTATATATATATGTATATATATTTTTATTTATATTTAAATTTATATTTATATTTAAATGTATATTTATATTTATATTTATATATACCGAGGCCAATTGAGCATTATTTCCACGAGTGGCAAATGTTCAATTGTCGCGACGAGATTGCTCACGGCGATGCGGTGGTACTCGTCAGCGTTTGCACCAGTCTCCTAGCCTAGGAGCAGGAGGCAATCCAGGCTCTTTCAGTTCTCCAGAAGAGGCTGTGGTGTGAACCGATGCGAGGCCGTGGAGCACTCAGTGCTGAGGGCAATGCAGTACATGGCCGTCCCGATGCCAAACGAGAGAGCACTTCGGTCAAACCTGATGCCAGCTCGCTCGGTACCGCGGGGCTCCTCGTCAGAATTACTTTTACATGCCGCAACAATAGCAAGCCCTGGCTGCTGTCCACCTGCAGGTGAAGCCAGGAAAACTCTGTCCAAAGCCGATGTAATGCAAGCACTACTTTGACCCCTTGGGTTTTAAGTTGCAGCAGGGGACGTGAGGGTGGGGGCCGGTCTAGGGTTGGGGGTTTCAAGTTTGATTAGGGCTTCCACACTTATACGGTCAGGGTTCTGGGATTTAGGGTTTACGGTTTCGGGTTTAGGGGACTTGAACCATCTCGATTTTGCAGCTTGGGGCTTGTGACCCTAAACACACAGAATGATGAAGCCTACAGCCGGAACCCGAAGCCAGTGAGCCCGCACAGAGCCTTTATCAGCCCATAAGAGCTAACACCTGAAGCCCGCGCCGAAACCCCCAAACACATCAACAACTACTGCACCCCAAAAGCTGCACCCTGAGCAGCATACACAGACATGATGTGGGGTTTAGGGGTGTTTAAGGGTCTAGGAGCTTAGGATTCAGCCTCAAAGGCTTTGGGGCTTAGGGTTTGGGGGTTTTCGGGTTCACGGTTTGAGGTTAAGAAGATTGGGACTACAATTCCACAGGAACTCGAGGCGCAGTTGAGCCTAACAGCTTATAGAGCTGATATCAATCCTTCCACTGAAAGCCCACTTACCACTCTTCCAGCGCCAGTACACAACCCTGAGAAACAGGCTCTACCCCAAGCCCTAAATTAGGCCCTAAACCCTAAACTCTAAGCCCTAAACCCTAAACTCGAAGCCCTGAGCCCTAAAAGCCCGAGACCAGAAGCCTGAAGCTGCAATCTCAACCTGAACCACAGCGGCACGGACCTCTTGGTCTTCCGGTGCCTGAATCCACTGAAGGAATCTTTTTAGGGTTTAGGGTTTAGGAATCGAACATCAGTTCTTTGGGTTTCAGGTGTAGGTGGTTCTGGGGTTTAGGGCAGGGTTTCGGGTGCAGCGTTTGGTACATTCAGGGTGTGAGCTTCAGTGTGTTTTCGGGCGTTGGCTTTACGACAAGTCCATGGCACGCAGCGTAGTCTGTTTACGTTCGAAGCTTTTTGACCCCAAACCCTTATAAACCTTAAACCCACCTGAACCCCGCACTGTAAACCCCTAAAGCCCTAAAAGCCCTAAATCCCCAAACCCTAACCCTAAGAACCCTAAACCTTAAACCCCAAAACCCCAAACGCATGAACTCCGCACTCCAAACCCCTAAAACCCTAAAAGCCCTAAACCCTCCAACCCTAAAACCCCGAGAACCCTAAAACCCCAGACCTTAAACGGGTTTAGGGGTTTAGGGTCATGGATTTATCACCCCACCGCCTGAATGGATTCTGGCCCTGGTGGTTCCCTTTCCCATATAGAAATATAAGGCGTCTATATAAGGATGCTATGAGAGCTTAGGGTTCAGAGTCCATGTACTCAGCTTAATATATTATATAGGACCATGGAGGTACTGTAAGGTCGGAGCATATGTTATATAATACTACATATTAGCTAAAACTGATCGATATTATTGTTCCGATGGGTGACCATTTAATACCCCTTGCGCCCGCCCTTGCGCACTCTTGCCTGTTTCTTGCGCCCGCACGAGTTGTTCATGCCTGCAGCTTGTATGATCATGAATTTCAGTATCTTGAACACCAAAACATGACCCATCGTGCATCGCGAGCGCTTTGGTTCGTGCTGGCAGGTTCCAAGATCTAATATGCACCAACGGTACTGCCCTTGCGCGCTCTTGCGCCCGCACACCATGTTTTGAAGGCAATTTCGACAGTGACCATGAATAAATCACCTCTGTAGAGCACAGTCAAGAGAAGGGGGGCTTAGATCAACCCTCATTGGACTCATGGAGCCTTGCAGTGACCCCTAAACCCTAAACCCTACAGCCTAAACCCCTTAACCCTAAACCCTAAAGTTTAAAGCCAAAGCCTTACGGGGAACGAACCCTTCTAGCCACACGTCGTCACCCACAGGCCAGACCGGTTCTTCCAAGGCCCCAGAACGATCGCTCCATGACCGCATCCCTAAACCCTAAATCCTAAACCCTCTAAACCCTAAATCCAAATCCTAAACCCTCATAAACCCTAACTCCTAAACATTCCTAAACCCTAAGGCCTAAAACCCTAACACCCAATCACGAGGATTCCGGGGGCGTAGACTTCTGCAGGAATCATCCCAAGGTATCCGTCGGCGGGTCTACGGCAGCGCTGTTCTGCAAGAATGCCTGCAAAGGCACCTGAGTAGAGGGCTCTAGCCTGGCAGACTTCGGAAGGTGATGAAATCCCGGTACCTAAGTTTACTAAGATATCCTAAGAGATGGCATGTCCAGCTCGAAGAAGAAATTGAAGATTGCTGGCGTCTTCTGGCCTCAGAGCTCATCTTGGACGTTTCGCTTGCTGCATCTTCCGGTGACAGCTTTTTTGGAGGAGCATCGGCTCGTCGGCAGGGGCGCTACTTGACAAGAAGGGTTCCAAAGTTAGGTGGCACGTCACACTGGCCGCACTGATTGTCTCCAAAGCAGGACAGCTGACCATCGGTTCGTATTGCACAGGTGTGAGAGTACCCGGCCGAAACTGAGAAAACTGCTCCTAGGTCACTTGGCACATCGCACCGGCCATCGTCGTTCTTGCCAAAGCAAACGAGCTCTCCAGTTGTTTTGATAGCACAGGTGTGGGAGTCACCTGCAGCCACAGACAGGACCGACCCGAGGTCGTTTGGCACATCGCATTGACCAAATCTGTTGCTTCCGAAACACAGCAGCTGTCCAGCTGCAGTCACGACACATGTATGTGCACCGCCAGCCGACGCTCCCAGAATGGGCCGCCCCAGACTTAGTACGTCACACTGCCCGTGCTCATTGTCACCGAAGCACACCAGCTCACCCTCAACTGTAGTGACACATGTATGAAAAGTGCCAGCACAAATGCTCTGAGCTTCACCCAGGTCGGAGGGCACCTCGCACGAGCCCTGTACGTTGTATCCGAAACAGACCACCTGCCTGTCTGCCCTCAGAGCGCAGGTGTGGGCGTAGCCGACGGCAACTTCTAGAACTGCTCCCAGGTCCTCTGGCACGTCGCACTGGCCCAAGTCGTACTTTCCAAAACAAGTCAGCTGCCCGTCGCTGCGAATGGCACAGATATGATGAAAGGAAGCGGATGCTGCACGAACCGTGCCCAGGTCTGCTGGAAGATCGCTCTGCTTCGCAAAGACTTTGAATAGGCCGAACAGCTCCAGCTGTCCATCCTTGATAACGCAGGTGTGGGAGTGACCCAAGGTCAAAATGGAGGCTCCCAAGTCAAGAGGCATCGTACGCATCAGCATGCAGAGGTGCATCGCTGCAGGTCTCAGCCTCCGCCACCTCTGGCCGGCAGCACCCCGCGGAAATCCGCGGCGTGGCAGGAGCCACAGAGGCTGACCCCATACCATTGCAATCGAAGATACGCTCCTTTCTTCCCCAAGCCTCTCATAACACCCTAAACCAACCAGGACCCCCTCTGTACCCTTAAGTAGGGATCTATGGCCCCAAATAGTGGGTACGTAGGGGAAAGTCCATCTTCAAATTTGGGTTTTCGGTTCGGGGCTTAGAAAGTTTAGGGCTTTGGGGCTGGGGTTTAGGGACATTCTAATCGGGCTTCGTAAGTTTAGGGTTTTGGGGTTCGGGTTTAGGAAGTTTCGTAGCTAAGTGCAAGGCTAAGGCTAATGACTTCCGTCTCGAGCAGAACCTTCGGCAAAACCAAGGGCGAAGTATCTGGAAGATACTGCCTTCCGTGAAGACCGACTACTGCAAGGATAGACTAATACACAGTCAAGCAAGCAGAAAACCGGGTGTGTAGGTTGCCTCTGGCCAGTCCAGAATCAAGCGAAGCTCCGCATCGAGTGCTGACATCACTGCCTGCAGCACGGTGGTTGCAGAGGTGTTGGTCTCCGCTCGAGGACTTCCATTATGTAAGCGGCCTTACTACTCAGAATAGTGTCTTGGGCGCATCATATGGGTAGCTGTCTAAATTAGGGTCCCTTTTAGGGTTCTTTTTGTCAGGGTGCCGTACTATCTTGGGGACCTAAAAAGGGACCCTAATTCAGAGAACTACCCATGTAGTATACCTATATTATAAGAAGACAGGCATTAGGATATTTTTGCGGGCTCAAGAGCCGGGAAGTTGATAACATCACTGGGAGCCGGTCGGCTCAAGAATGAAGTGATGACGCTGAAGTTGAAGCTACCCATAAGCTCCATAGTAGTTCCTTTTTTGGGATTACCTTATAGGATCCTAAATATAAACCACAAAAAGGATCCTAAATCTAAGCCACAAAAAGCATCCTCAAAAAAGACCACAAAAAGGATCCTAAATATAAACCACAAAAAGGAACTACCATGGAGGCTACAGGTACCCTTAAGGCAAGCCCTCCAAAAAGGAACTACCATGGAGGCTATAGGTACAGGTGATGAGCTTCGAGGCCTTCGTGTAACGAACGCTGTTGCCAAAGCAAAAGGAGCCCTCGAGACCCTCAGGGCCGACGTGCACGGTCTCCTGCGAATAACGTAGGAGCCTTAATAATTACAAAAAGGGCTTTGGGATATATTATACTATATAATTATAGTAAGGAGCCCGCAGAGTAGTATTGGTAATTATTGGGGATCCTATATTGCATGACGCCTGGTAGGACAACGAAGAACATCCTCATGAAGGGAGTCGATGAAAAGGGAGAGATATGGGAGCATGCATGTGATGCCCCTCGGCGAATCCAAGCAATATACCAACATCAGATATATGCTGGATAAGAAACATGCTGCCGCAAGAGCCGCTTTCTGGTGTCTTTAATCGCCTGATCCTAAACCCCTCACCCCAAACGCAACCGATGCTTGGGCTCACGAACCCACACTTCCTGTTTGCAGCGGCTCTGCTGAAACAGTGGACGATTGGGGTCTTTCTTTCCCCCATCAACCAGGTCGCCTCATGGCGGGGCGTTGTGAAACTCTTAGGCTCTCAGGTTACTTCACACAGCACCGGGTGCTTTAGTCCAACGTAGGGGCCTTAATAATTAGAATAGGGTTGTGGGGCTTATTATTATACTATAATCACAGTAAGGAACCCCCCCAAAAAAATAGTATTGGTAATTATTGGGGCCCC